CAGCTAGAACAGCAGCATTTCCAAGCAGCTGTAGATCCCATGTTGTCAACACAGAACACGGATATCACCAAGGCCAGACCACAAAATCCATCACAATCAAATCGTAGGTACAGCCAAGGGGCACCAGAGCCTCGCCTGCCACGGTGAAGGCATGGGTATGATGTGCTTACAACAGGTGGTCGCGGTGTCCTGTTACCAACCTGGTCTTCCATAGATGTTCTGGAAACTTTGGGGTCTATCCCAACTCATAAGAAGGGGTGGAACTTACAAATCACTCTGGAAGAACATGGAGACATTTTTATTCTAATTATTTGCCTTCTTCTTTCCTAACTAGTGTTTTAGAAAGTCAGTGCCAAGAATACAATATTAAGACTGACTGTAGCTTGTATAGCAGCCCCAAGTTGGAAACAGATGATACTAGGCTCAGACAGATCTGGGTCCACACCTTAGCTCATTATGTCTGTTATGAGTGACTGGCCTTGGGTATTTAACCAGTTGGTTAAACTTGCTAAACTTCAAGTTTTCATTCTGGAATTGCTGTTCTGATCCAGTAGTTCTTGAACTTCAGCCCAGGTCAGAACTACCTGACCGGCAGGGACTTCTTATGTCTGGGCATAAATTCTCAGGAGATGCTAATGTGGCCGGGATGTGTGCACTATCAAAGGGCTGGACCTAACAAGCAGTGCAGAATCCCCTGCTTGATAGCAGTTGTAAACTTCCCTTTCCATGAGAATGGATTGCAAGGATGTGAAAGTGCCCTGTGAGCTTATAAAGTTCCAGACAATCATACTGGAGTAAATATGAGGATTATTTTAAACATTAAGGGGCACGGTGCAGAGTCTCTACTGCAGTGCCCAGCACATAGTAGGGTCATTAAAACAAAACAAAACAAAAAAACTCCACAAATCCCCACCGGTAACTAAAGATAGCCACCCGTTCACTCCATGTTGGAGGATGACAGCCTTTGTCATACATTACAACAAAAACTGGAAATAAAGTTATAAGAGAAGTTCATATCGAAATTGTGGGTGGCAGGGACCTCCTTCTTGGCTTCTGACCCAATTCATTATTCAAATCCTTTTACCATGGTCTGTTCCACTGCTCCATGCGGAACCAGCTGTGGATCTTGATAAGAGGAGAGAGCGAGACTGTTTCCACTTTGCTCCTGGCAGTCCTCGGGCCTCCAACAGAACCTTCTTACAAAATGAATAGTGCTGGCTCCCAGAGAGTCCAATCTAATCTCATCTTGTCCACTCAGAAGATCCATACAGACTGTCTGACTGCAGGATTGCAGCAGAGAGGCCGTCTAATTCCATCTGGGTTTGCATCTGCCTTTCAATGACCATGCATGGAGCCATCGGGGTACATGAGCAAAATATAACGGGCGGGCTTTTAAACTGTTCCTGTCTGAGGTATTCTTTAAAGGGCCCCAAGACGAATGATGACAGAAACAGAGTGAGTACGAGTGAATTTAATATCCATAGCATCCTCTAAACAGGCCCAGAATGGATCAACAGCCTGAGTTCCACTTTTTATAGTCTTCATATTCTGATCAGATTACCACGCTATGCCGAGAGACCTAATTTACCAATCCCCTGGAGAATTGCAAATTACTTTAAAAGGGAAAAAAAATAACTGCCTGGTTACTCTTATTTGAACACTATGCCATTTGTCCCCTCAGCCATTTTCTGAAGGTTTGGCCTACTTCAAGTGAAATTACTGGTGAGGTTGGTTACCCAGAAAAAAAAAAATTTTTTTTTTTTCAGCTAGTCAGCTTTAAGGGAAGCTTAAAACTTACCCAGAAAAAAAATTTTTTTTTTTTCAGCTAGTCAGCTTTAAGGGAAGCTTAAAAACACGCAACAGTACAGAATACCTAAAACTCAGAAAGCACTCTACATTTTGTATGGCCCAGTCTGGCAACATTATCAAGAGGACCTTCAGATCCAACACAATCTATACAAATTGACTGTCATTGCCACAAACACTTTAAATCTTAGGGGTGCTACATGAAATAACCCGTCAGGTCAACTCATGTTTGTGAAATCAACATTTGAACTGTTAGGTACTGGACTCACTTGCACATTGGCTCTACACAGATTCTAACAACCAGATTTTAACATTGATTAGATGTATATTCTAAGTTGACTTGGTAACAAGGTGAGAACCCTGCTCACCAGTGAGATTAGGTCTGGGTGTATTGCTTCATCTGTGTTTTTATTGCTTATATCACGTTGGAGTTGAAACTCCAAATCCAAGAGAGGGCTTGGTGAACCAATGAGTTCACCGAGTTTACTCACAGGAACCTGGGAGACCAACAAAAGGTGGTACTAGCTAAAAGTTCAATCCCAATATAGATGACCTTTCCTAGGCTGTATAGTGGGGGGTGGGGAGAGAAGGGGACTGCAGATAACACTATACCTCCTATGTGTCCTACTACCTCCCAAGACCATATACAGCTGGGGTGGGGAGATAGGAAAGAGAGTGACTAGACTCCCAGGTGAGGCTTAGTTACCCTCTCCTTATTCCCTCTAAGGAATTATGTTCAAAGTGTGATCTGGGGACTGGAGAGATGGATGAAGGGTTAACAGGACCTGCTGCTCTTGCACAGGACTCAAATTCAATTCCCTGCACCCATAAGGCAGCTTAGAACTCTCTATAAACGTCAGTCCCAGGAAATCTGATGCTCTCTTCTGACTTCCTTGGTCATAGCACTCACAGCATGTAGATCAGGGTGACCTTGAATTTACAGAGCTCCACCTGCCTCTATTTCCCAAGTGCTGGAATTAAAGGGAATTAAAGTCATGCACCACCATACCAGACAAAATTAATAAACCTTTATTTTAGTTTTTGGTTTTGATTTTTTCCAGACAGGATCTCACTGTACAGTCCCAGTTGTCTTGGAACTTACTTTGCAGACCAAGATGGCTTTGAACTCAGGGATTCATCTGTGTCTACCTCCCAAGTGCTGAGATTAACAGTATGTGCCACCATGCCTTGCTAAAACTAGTAATCTTAAAAAACAAAAGTGCCTGAACTTGTCAGAGTCTCTTGTGGTGGCACTGCTGCCGTTTTCAAGATGGGATGGCCATGTCATGCCCTGAAGACGGCGTTCTAAGTACTGACCAGATCCACACACTCCCATCTCCTCTTACCTGAACAGCCCTGTCCCATTTTACTTTTTCCTCTTGTTAACTGCATACCTCAGTATACCTTATAAATTTCCTATTTGAAAGGTCAACACCAATGACTAGTTAATGCAAAGGCAATGGAAGAAATACACATAAAAATCTGTCAAAGGTTAGGCTAGGAAAGCATTGCAGACTGGTGATGATGCAGGACTTTCTGGTGACAATTTCAGTGATCTCAGGTGACACTGAACACCAAGTCACCTTGGAAACTGTCTCTCAGCATCGATGCAGCAGAAAAAAAAATACTAAGCCAGGACACCAAGAAGCCACATTCTCCGTTCCTGCAGTGTCCATTTCATAGCTCTTACTCTGGGTAGGACTGAAACACTTCAACAGCAGAAAGCTGCAAGGATGCCAAGGAAAGGGGTGATTAAATCTCCATGAGATGAGACACAATGGGTTTCACGTTGGAAAGTCTAGCAAAAATGATACTGGTGGGTAGAGAGGGCAGGAAGAGGGAGACAGAGGAGAGTGAGGGAGAGAACAGGAACATTTCTCCAAAAGTTGGGGGTGGGCAGGCACTGGTTAGCTAAAGTCAAAATCGACCTTGTCTTTTTCATTAAAATACAGTGGACACTGATTGAGAGATGCTCACACACTTCACTCAACAGGCTACGGCAGCATGTCACACGAGTACTACAATTCATTTCTAACGGATAGTAACCATCAGGGTCTACTTCATAAACAGCACTGCAAAGGTTGCCAAGCTATATAACCTTAAAGTATAGGATGAATCTGATCAAATGATCACCCAATTCCTCAAATTTCTGCTTCAGGAAATCAGAAAGAAAGCTGCACTATTCCTGAGGACCAACGTGGAAGTTCATTTGGAAACTGGAGGCTCACTCAGGGCACTGCCCGCAGAACAGTTTGCCTCACCACACACAGCAACTCTGCCTGGATCACAAGGATACAGAGACTTAACTGCAAATGCACTAATACAACAGCATTTGAACCTCATAAAGACAAGTTTCACAGAAGGCTTAGGTACCAGACATTCAGACCAACAAAGGCTCCTGGGCCCACAGTAGTGTTTGAAAATGGCAGCTGGGAAAGCCGTCAAGATAAATTCTACAGATGGTCTGTGAGCACAACATCAACTAGAACAGCAGCTACATCTTAGGGAACTGGGCTTTAGTTACGATCTCTGGTGCTTTTAGATTTTTAGAAAATTTTATTTTATTAAAAAAGAGAGAATTGTCATCTACAAACTATTTTGTATCTAACTATGCAAATACAACATCAAAATACTCTTGGTAAATTCCCTGACAGAACTAACAATTTTAGGGCTTTCCAACAGGACCTATAACAAGGAAGACCAAACAGAGTTCAGATTACAGGCATTAGCTGCATTTTCCAGAACAGAAAGTAAAGCTAATTGTTTAAAAAGTCTGAAACTTTCAGTTTTGTGGGTTTTGGTGATTTGAATCCAATCACCAGAAGTCTAGAAGCAGCAGGATGTTGGAGACTGTACGACTGTACTGGGGACACAGAAGCAGCTCCCATGCAGTACTTCAAGTGTTGCTATCAGATATATTTAAGTGGCATTTAACAGATTAGAGCTGGGTGAAAATCAAAATATATCCTCCCCACTACATTTTAAAACACAACGATTGCCATTTGACAGCAGTAAGGAAACTGGTACAAGCTGAACACAAAGCTACCTCTTGTCTTGTAGGAAATAAACATAGATATATAGATACATGTACACATATACATTATCTTCAAAATTCAAAGTTGTTCATTTGTTTTACTATCATATAAAAACAACCTCCCTATGGTCAAATTACTGGAAAAGCACAAAGGCTAAGAAAAAAAAAAAAGAAAGAAAAGAAAAGCACATTTGCCACGTTTAAAAAATACACATTGTCTCAGTGGTTCTGTTTATTTGATTATAAAGTTATATTCTAAGGATTCAGACTCCTGGGACTATACTCAATCAAACAGAAACAAATCTACCCTTTTCTCAGTTCTTAGAAAGGACACTTTGAACCCATTCATTCCAAAGAGAAATAAGAAATATCCCAATTTTGAACTGTTAAATTAGGACATGGTCTCCTGGAAGTGACGTACATAAAACGGAAGGCTCCACGGGAGAGACGGAGTCAGAAAGCAGTTCTTGGGTTGTAATCTGGGAGCCCTGGGTCGGAGAGAAAGGCATTGGGGAACTTGGTTCAGACACAGACATGGCTTCTGTGATGACTCCTCATAGTGCAGGGGCTTGCAGCTCATGGTCCATACCTAGCATGTAGTCTGTCTTGTAAATTAAGGTTTAACTGGGCTATAATCATGGTCATCTGTCTCTACATTGTCTGTGAAGCTTCTCTCTACAACAATGCGAGCTGAGTGGCTGGGACAGGAATCTGACATATTTACTCCAGTCTTTTATGAGAACAGTTTATGGAATGCCTCAGCTAGTGTACTAAGTGCTACCCTAATTACCTAAAAGATTTTTGCTCCAACTCCCAAGAATAACCTTAGATTTACTCAACAGCCAGATGCCTGCCTGTCTGGAAGTGGCTCTTTAGTTTTGGGCAAAAACAAAACAAAAAAAAACCCCAAAAACAAACAAACAAAAAACCCCCAAACCAAAAACACCAACCAAACAAAAAAATCCTACTTGTTTTAAGCAGATACTTAGAACTCTTGATTGCAAAGGGGGGGTGGGAGATAAGGGGAAATGCTGCTATGTCCTCTTACTATTTTCATTCACAGTGGTGGAGCAGGTGACACTGTCATTCCTTTAGTCTTTCTAAGTGCTTTCTGATACACAGCGTTCTTTGCTCCTCTCATTACACAATAAGTGACTTTGTAGCCATCTGTCAAAAATGCTTTGTTTGATGAGGTCCTGTTCAGAAGTATTTAAACTAAACATATAAATAATTACTCCTTTAAAAAAGTCTAAAAGAAATCTGATTTCTGAATCTGAAGAGGGAGAAGGTGAAGAATTAAGAGGCAAATTAAACTCTACAAAACGGACTTTTAAAATCCATAGGTGTAAAATAGCCACCATTTTTGAATGACAAGATCATATGAAAACAGGAACATCTTTCAAGTTTGCAAAAGGTTTTTCTGTTCCTCAACAGCTAAAGAAGGTCCCGAGTCACTAGAGTTCACAGGTGTTTCACATTTCAATAGTTGCTGAAACACAGAAGATAAACATGAAGAGGATATTTATCAAACACAAATTTATGCCAAGATAAAGTTTTTTTCTTCTCATAAAGCTTAAAAGTGAATTTTCCCTTTTTGTTGTTAAAAGAATGGACAGTATGAAACTTATGTTAGTGATACTTCCATTTAAACACCACTTGACAATTCCAAAGTGCTCTCACCATGCCACCGTAGTCCTCACAACAGCTCTGTGAGGTAGGCACAGTAGGCATTAGTATCCTCAACTCAAGATGAGGAAACCGAGGCAAAGAGAGGTTAAGTGACTTGCCTGACGCCACACCACTGGAAGGTAGAGAGCTGAAACCAGAGATCAAATGTTTAGACTGTCTAGTACCCTTTCCATTATCACTATTGCCTCAGGCTGAGTAATGCTCTCTCTCAAAATTGAAAGGCTAGGTTAGTTCATGTCAGAGACATCATAACAGCAAAGTTAAATGAGAAATACAAGAATAGTCTGATGAATTTACTCGACATAATAAAATTGGTGCAAAACCACTTTTTATCTACTGACTTGTAACTTTTTGGTCCAAATACATAAAATATGCAATATTTACAGCATTTTTCTTTTGTAAATGCAATGCTTTAAAACACATTATAAAGCACCGTAGTAAAAATAGTCTACAGGTAAAAGTACAGAGGTAGGAAAATCCTACCATCACAGCTCACTGATGGAGTTGCCATATGCAGTCACCGATACTTCAGTGTACTGGGTTATAGAGAAGCCATGGAGAAACAAATACTAAACTCATTTTTTTTATATGAATGTGTGGAAATCCTTAAGAAAGCCTCAGATAATGTTGTCAACATTCTTAGAAATACCACCCCAATATTAGATACTGGGGAGACAGAAATCAGGAATACTGCTTTTAACTGTTTTGTCTTTTTACAGTATTATTCATGGTTTTCAGTTGATTTCTTTAACACTAATGATCATCCAAAAAATAAAATAAAGCCTACATAAATATGGGCAAACTCAACTACAGCAAAAACAGTTCTGAGAAAACATGATCAAACATTCCAATAAACTCTGTGAGACATGATCCACATAAACAAATCAGCTACTGGCAAATAGTTATTAGCACTATCCAGTAGGGGTGTGCAACACAAAACTCCAAGTGCCATACAGACTCATCTGCATCCAAAGAGAGGTGAAAAAAATGCTTCATCAAAAGCAAGAGAATCACAGAACCTCTTCTGAAATGGTATTCAGCCTTCTGATTAAACCTCCATGTGTGTATTTTAAGTGACATGAGATTTCTCCTCACTGGGAGATTATAGCTATCATGAAAATGAAAACAAAGTAACAAAAGAAATAACAATTCATCACACTTAAGAACTTAAGAACTCCTTAGAACACTGACATCCCATTCAGCATCTAATTTCTTGACACTCCTGTCTGTTCCCCAACTCGGCCCAACAAGAACTGGCTCGGCTTGGACTCGATTAGCAGAACAGGTGCAGAAGCTGAGAACAACGGTGACAACACAGCCAAGTCCAGGTTCAAGACTGCTCTGGTCACACTTTCACTCAGTTCGACTTCGGGTAAATCTTTTCATAGAAAAAGTTCTGGGCCAGGATGTAGAGGTCTCCATCTTTCTCACGGACAGCGTGGGCTCTGATGAACTGGAACTGCTCTAGTGCAAACTCGTAGAACTCATTTTCCATTTTCCAAATGTCAGACTGCTGCAGCTTCGCGATGGTTTGCTTGGTGGGAAGTTTCTTCTCTGTGGTTTTCCTCAGGTGGGATTTCTTTCCTACTTACAATGGGAAAATAAGAAAAGTAAATAATTGTTGCAGAGCACACAGACACTGCCTCTTTCCTGTATGTGCTGCAGTCATGGAGGACTTGGGGCAGATGTAAACTTCAGGGAGAGTCGAGTGATGGCATGCTTTTAAACAAATGAAACACCATCAGGGTTGGACTGACTCACAAAGGTCTGGAAGGACACTTTCAGATAAACTACAGCAGACTTAGCACACGACGGCTGTTCCTGTGTTTAGCACTCCCATCGAACCAGTCTAGAAGTATAGTCTAGTTTATTACTCAGTCAACTTGTAAACAAACAAACAAACAAACAAACAAACGCTTTAGAAAGAAACCTATCCTGTCCATACCTGTACGATAGAGGTCTGTAGCACCCCGGAAAAACCGGGGCAAAGCTGCCTCGAGTAGCATGATGAAGTCTTCCAGCTCCTCAGTAACTCCCACCAGAAAGTACTCGTTAATGAGGTTATACTTAGCTTGATCCATAGCCCATCTGCTTCCCACATTCCTGAAACCACACAAAAGGAATTGAACACGGGCTGTGAAACAGGCTAAGTGTGCTCATGCTTCTGACCCTCTGTGTTATGGAGGAAGCAGGGAGGTGGTGAACGCGCTCAGCGCAGCTTCAACCCCCCCTGCAGCGGCGTCTTACGAAGGCGTAACATTTCCAACTTCCTTACTTCCACGTCCCCAGCTTCTGCTCCCTACATGTAGCCACTCAGACGCTACCACAGGTTCTCAATGAGAACAGACTTCAAGGACAGCTTTAAATATACACATCTGTATCATATAGTCTCTTTTTTGACTTCTGTGTGCATCCATGTTTTAAAACTACTCCAAAACTTTGTTCATTCTGAGAGCCCCTATGGGAAAGTCATAGCAATTTTTGTTTAGTGTTTATCTTAATTTGTAAGCTCTGTTTCTTTTCTTTCCATAAGCTTTAGTGTTTCGTGAAATGCGAAGAAACAAAAAATAGGTAAGAAATAGCTGTACTAGAAATCTTTCTGTTTACAGTGTCAGCTAAGGCATTAACAGGTCTGATCTTAAATAGACTATACCTCTGGGATCTAATTAGCACTGACATTCTTTCTGCTTTGCTCTAGCTCTGCATTTTAAGTGCCAGTGTGACCCTGTGTTGGCTTCACTTCTTCTTGTCTTCTCAACTATTAAAGGAAAGGCAAAATCACAGACCAAGAAACTGGGTGTGACAGTACATAACTAGTGTCTTGGCACTTGGAGGTGGAGACAGGAGGGTCAAGAGTTCAAGGTCAGCCTGCGCTACAAGAAATTCTATCTCTAAAAAACCTTGGAGGGGAGGAGGATGGGGATTGGTTGGTTTCTAAGGTCTCCCCAAAATATTTCATTGTGTGTGAAATACATGGATTACCCTCTCTAATTAAAACTCAACTAAGCAATATTTTTTACTATTCAAAAGCAGGGCCTGGCAAACTTCTTCTGTAAGAGGCAAAGAGTAAATATTATAGGCCTTGTAGACTAGACGGTTTAAATAACAATAATTCCCCTCTGCTATCTCAGCAGACAGTAAATGCACCCACAATAGTGGCTGTGTTCTAATAAAGCTTTATTTACAAAGAACACGTGCTCAAACATAATTTGGGCCATAGGACTGGGTTCCTTTTCAGAGGAAATGGCTAAAACCTGAAAAGACATCTTCCAATGCTTTCAATTGTTTTTCTTTTTTTGATATTCTTTTTTTCCCTTTTTTTATTTAAGTTAGAAACAAACTTGTTTTACATGCCAATTGCAGTTTCCTCTCCCCCCCTCCTCCCCTGCCTCAAGGCGTCCCTTCACCCCCATTCCTTCTCTCCTCAATTGTTTTTCTACATGATGCTTTGCAGCAGTCTACAAGCAGGTCCTCGACTTTATGTCAACCTATATGGCTCAAATGATCAAGAAAGTCTTTGGATTTCACTTTGAGAAAAATACTAATTTTGAATGGATTTTCTGCTTCTGCATTTCCTATCAAAATGAATGAATAGCCAGATATGGCAGTGCATACCTGTACCAGAGAACCCAAGGCAGGAGAATCTCAAGTTCAGGCTGGCTGAAGAGTTGGGTAGGCAGTCCAGTGACCCAGCCCTTGCCAAGCATGTGCAGAGTCCCTTAATGCCTTAAAGCAAATGTCTGACCACAATAAATAAATAATGTAAAATTATTTTAAAAACTTGAACACAGAATGTTCTTGGGGAAATTTTTTATTAGAAGTAAAATCCTAGTCCTGACTACCACATTCCTGCCCGTGAGATATGGATTGCAGAGAGATGGAAGACTACCACCATAGTGAAGTTTGTATTCCTACCAGCATTCTGAGCTGTGGCCACAGAAAAATGGGATCTGGAGCCAGAGCTTCTCCGGAGCACAGTCTGAGCCGCCCTCAGCCACACATTCATCAAAGGTCTGCAGCAAAGATAAAAAGAGCACCGTTAGCCATAAACCACGCCTCAGGGTAAGAGACAGATTTTTAATCTCTGTATGCCTGTTTGTGAGTGTAGGTGCGCACATGCCATGGTGTCTGTATGAAGGTCAGAACAACCCTGGCTGTCAGTCCTTGCCTTACGTCTTGTTGGAGACAGGGTCTTTTGCTCATCTCTGAGAGTGTTAGGCTACCTGTCACGAGATTTCGGTAATGTTCTGTCTTCAGTTCCCATCTCGCCACAGGACACTGCAAGCACAGATGTGCACTACTGTGCCCACCTTCACACGGGGTCTAGGAAACTGGACTCAGGTCCTTGCATGGCATGGCAAGAGCTTTACCCACTGACTCACCTCTCCAGGGCAAAACTTTTAATGTAACAAGTTACCAAGTAAATGAGTACAAGTGGGTGGGATGAGACCTGTGGATATATGGGGGTGGGGCAGATGGATCAGTGGTTAAGAGCACTTGTTCTTGCAGAGACGGATATGTGGGGGTGGGGCAGATGGATCAGTGGTTAAGAGCACTTGTTCTTGCAGAGGACCTGTTCAGTTCCCATCACCCACATGGCAGCTGACGACCATCCATACATCCTCTGCAGCTGTTGTTTATGACGTCTGGTGAGAAACACCAACATGGCCCCACTCGCTGTCCACCTTCCAGTAGTGCTTCCTGGTAGGCTCTCAACACACTAGTCCTGCTTGCTTTTGACCAGGAGCATCCACCCATGCCACATCAGTTCTATGGGCTCTTAAGTATATCCCAGTACCCCAAATCTCTGTAACTTTACTGGAATGTTCTTCCTTGGGAGACTGATTCTACCAGTGAAGGTTTCATGAGGTCCAGCCTTCCAGTTACTCCTCGGGCTGAAAGTCATTTCCTGTCTTTTGAGTTCTGATGGGAGAATGTCCTTCTGTGTATATGTTTCTCTTATTGGTTGATGAATAAAAACACTGTGGCCAATAGAGGCAGGGAGATGGGACTAGGAGATGAGAATTCTGGGAAGGGTAGGCAGAGTCACTTGCCATGTGAGCTGCCAAAGGAGTTAGAGGTCCAGACCCTTCTCAGGTAAGATAAGACCACATGGAAATACACAGATTAATAAAAATGGGTTAATAATTAAGACAGAGCTAGCCAATAAGAAGCCCTAGCCATCGGCCAACAGTTTAATTAATATAGTGTCTGTATGTTTATTTGGGGCTGAAGCGGTTGTGGGACCAGCATGGCAGGTTGGAAACTTTCCGAAACAGAGTTCTATACACTGCCTTGTTCTCAGCTCTCAGCTCTCAGCTCTCACTGCCTTGTTCTACCAGCTCTCAGGAAGAGGACACACTCATCTGCAAGTGTCATGTTCAGTTCCATAACAAGCTTCATGTAGTTTTTATATTCCATTCCTGCTCAACTATGGTGGGGGCTAGAAAAGGTCATGCCACGTGCAAATGCATTTCAGAACACGCTATGGTGCTACACAAACTGTTAGCAGAGTTAGTGTGTGTGTAGTGTTGTTTTGAAGATTGTGATTGGGGCTGACAGAAGTACTAAAGACACAGCACTGGTGAACATAGAGACAAGGTCACTTATTTCATGACACAGGTGAGATAGCACTTCAGCATTTCCCAGAAATTTCCTTATGTGTGTTTAATTTGTATAAGTGGAAAACTTTGGCCTTGACCATTCCATTACTTAGGCATTTCGCTAGACGGACTGTGTGAGGGTGTGGATGATAATGGACTAAACCTCTGAAATTTAGAGGTAAGCCAGCCTCAACTAAATGTTTTCCTTTGTAAGAGTTGCTTTGGTCATGGTGTCTCTTCACAGCAGTAGAAATGCTAAGACAGAAACTGGTA